TAAAAATGTAGGAAGGTGGATGATGGAATGTCTCATGCAAGGAAGAGCAAGGAGACTGGCTCAGAGGGTACATGGAGAGGAGTAAGGTATAAGACAAGTGGAAAGATAGCAAGAGTGAGGTTCTGAATGGCTTTGAATGGCAAACACAGGGTTTTGTATTTGATCTTGCAGTCATGGGGAACAACTGACTTGGAAGACCTCCTTAGCTGTCTGTCCAGAGAAGTCATTTGAAGGTTCCCCAAAGTAACAAGAAAGTGACAGAGCATGCTTTTTTAGGTACTGGTTATATTAACAAAGAGTAGACCCTGAGATAGGATATACACATACTCCTGTAGTTGGTTCTCATATATCATTCTGGACTGACAAAGGAAAAACATACCCAACCCTAGAGTGGGAGAGAGGTGGCTCCATCTTCTGGGAGCAGAGGACTTGAACTCTTTCCCTCTTTCATCATCTTCCTAAAGCTCCTATTGAAACAAATACTGAATAAGTGGAAACAAAGAGGCTTGATTTAACAGCTCAACAAACTTAACAGCTTGTTTCTTTCTTTTTTTTTTTCACAATACAGTCAATTTACAACCTTTTACTTCCCTGGAATTTCTAGATATTCAAAACGTGAAGGATGGCTTGTGGCTTGTGTGACTACACAAGAATAAATCATGCATTTTTTGGTGGAAGAGGTATCTTGTTTTAAGTAGCTTTACAAATGACTCAGAGATCTCATAAGATAACTAGGATTCTACTCTAAACTCAGGCTTCTTAAACTGTGAGTTGTGAACACATACAGGGTTGTGAAAAATTTGGCAACAGTAGAAGGTTTCTGAACACGCAAAGACTAAAAATTAATTAAAAATCAAACATGTAATGAATCCAAAGTGTTTCTGGCAGCACTCGTCCATTCTGCATCACACAACTTCACTGTAGCCTTGGTTCTGAACAGAAAACATGCCCGCTTTGCATTGTGCATGCCCTCAGGCCATGCAATGCCAACCCAAAAAAATTACAAAAAGGTTTCTCTAGTGGAAAAAATTTAAGAATCCCTGTTCTAAAGCAGAGGTCCCTGGCCTGAGGACTACACAGTTAATGTAAGAGGTCTAAAGCCACATGGACACCAAACAGTGTGAAATGTCTCATGCTTTTTGTCAACACATGTGGCAAGTTTTTGCACTTGTATTAAAATCTAAATAATGGATGTGGAGATAGATATAAAGTTGAAATTGTCATTGCTTAATCCAGGTTTCCAATCCCTTAAAGCTATACCTGCAGATTTAATGACTCAGTATGATAACAAAGCTAAGATTCCCTCTGAAGAATAAAGTAATTAAATAATAAATCCATTGCTATTTTTCAGATGTGTACAAATGCTGTTTTGATGAATCAAATAAAAAATTCATTTAAAAGTCTTACTGAATTCTTAGTGATTTTGTCACTATGTATTATACCTCAGTCAAAGGATAGTAGGTATAGTACATTGCTATCACGTCAGGGCCAGTGAAATATTTTGGTATTACCAAGAAGTACTCATACTGAAAATTTGGGAACCTCTGCTCTGACGCAAAGTGAGTCATAGATTGGTTACAACATATGCTCAAAACTGCCATGAAAATCTACTGTAAAAAGAGAGAGAAAGAAGAGGTAAGATAGCAATAGCTGAATACAATTAATAACTAGAAGAGACCTTAGAGGTTAACCCCACTTCCTTATTTTACAGATAAAGAAACTGAAGCCCATCAAAGTTTAACAATTTGCCTAAAGTCACACAGATACAGGCCATGAAAATGAATGCCAAGACTTGAGCCTGAATTGTCTGATGCCAAATCCTATGTTCTTTCCATTAACCTATCTTGCCTAGACTCTATTAGTATCTACAAGACTGATTATTTTCAAAGCTATTTCACTTTATAGCCTAAAATACACTTGGGGAGAATTTAGTCATGAGAGAAGACATCCTTAAATATTAGGGATTTCCATCTTGAGGACCCCAGTTCACTTCATCCTTTTGCTCCTGCTATGACCTTCCCCATTCTGATACGGCTCAAAGGGGACTAGGGACTTGGTATGCCCACCTCCTAACAACTTTTTCCCTCAGTAGTTCTTTAAATTATGAAGGTTTTTCAGATTAAATTTGCCAAGCTTGAGCGACTTGACTGAGCTTCTGACAAGTAGTGCCAAGTTATTGAGTAGCACATCATCAGGGGGATGGTGCTACAATAGAGGCTGACATTAATGCATCGTTAGCACGGCAGAACTCTGGCAAGGGATTATTATTTCACTGGTGCCCTAATGCAAAGATTTATTTCCGAGATCTGGGCTGAGAAACCTTTCGTTTCTCCGACATTTCTTTTGGAGAGACAAAGAAAGGACCTGAAAATAATTTTAGAAGTGAAGATTTTGTTAGAATGGAAGAGACACCATTCAATGAGGCCAGGAAAAGTGAGTTCACGTTAGGGGCAAATTGGGGTGTCTAGAAACATCTGACGACTTTGAGATTTGAGATCAGCAGTCTGAGAGGTTTCACGATGTAATGGGCAGGGTGCTCGACTTGGAGTAAGCAAATTGATAGTTTAAATCCTACCCCTGACACTTACTAGCTATGACCCCACACAAGCCACTTAAAATCTTCCAGCCTCAATTTTCTCATCTGTAAAAATGAAGGGTTGGACTCAATGGCCCTTAAGGGTCCCTTTCAGTTCTAAAGCCACGATCCTATGACCTACTTCACCTAAACCTATGAGCGCTTTGCTGAGGCACAAAAATTTAGAGAGTACAGATAGTACTTTTACTCCTTTAGTAGACAGAAATAACTGAGTTTCACCCCTAGTTAGGAAGAATAATTAGGCATCAGCCATGACCTTGCTGGGTCCTTTCCTTCTCTCTCCAGTCCTGTTCTTTCCCACCTATAGTGTCTCTGTCTCCTGCCAGAAATTTCATGTCTGGTATCTTTTATTGGATCCTTTGAGGCTATGTGATTTGTTCCCCCACCCAAACTCTATTCATTTTTCCCCGGGTCCAAAAAGTATTGGTTAGACCTTTGGTGCCAATTTTCAATGCCATTTCCCCTCACTCTGTGCCCTTGCTTTGAAAGTCAATGCCTTTGTCCCGCCTCCCACCCAAGAATCAGGGCTCAGTTAATGGCACCTTATTTGCCATCCCCAGACAGGAATAACCATAGGATTGAGGTCAGGGAATGTTTGATTCTTGTCTTTGTATTCCCAGAATCTCGCACAGTTGCCTGGTACCTTGTAAGTGCTTAAGAAATGCTTATTGAATTGAAGAGTACTGAGTTAGAACTTGGGGGCTCTTCTTTTGAAAGGCTGTTATTAACCCCTTAGCTCTCAAATCAATTACTTAGATTAGAAGCATAAATTTAGAACTGGCAGGTACCTTAAAGGTTGTCTAGGTCAAACCCCTCAATTTGCAGATGAGGAAACAGATGTCTAGATAGGAGTACTTTGTGCAAGCTTTGAAGTTGTGAGTCAAACCTGGAGTTTTTTTGTTTTCTTTTGTTTTGTTTTTTACTCCAAATCCAGCACCTTCTCCCACTGCCTCTTTAGGCTTGACTTGACGGATAGCCTTATTATTATTTTTTTTCATCATAAAACCACCACCATTTGTAATCAGCAACTATACTGGAAACAATTAGTCACTTTATATCACTTGCTTGATGTGGGTTATTGAGACCCCACCCCCACCTCCCATGGAGAATCAATCATCTGACAGCCCAGGGGTTGTTTTCTTCTTTATCATCATCCCTTGATCCACTGGCCTGTTCCAGACCTTGGCTGAACGATTTGGTGGCTTTGATGTTTCCTTCTGTTATACTACCCATTATGTGACTGCTCCCATGGGATATACAGGGTGAAGAGAGAGGGGAGTCAGGGGAGTGAGGATGTAACCACTGACAGGACTAAAGGCTGTTTGAGAAAAAGCAGATTCTCCCCTTGCATTCTGGGGGTGAAACCTATGGAATGCTGTGAAGGTACAAGTTAGCGAAGACTTCCTGAAGCTGAAAAATGGATGTCTCCCTTGAGAGGCTATAGGCTCCAAAGATGGATGGTTATGTCTTCCCCATTGAAAGTATGTTCTTTCTCTCTCTCTCTCTCTCTCTCTCTCTCTCTCTCTCTCTCTCTCTCTCTCTCTCAATCTCTCTCTCTCTCCCTCCCTCCCTCCCTCCCTCCTTCTCCCCTTCTCTCCCATCTTTCTCTATCTCTGCTTGTCTCTGTCTCTCTTTTTTCCCCTCTCTCACCTTTTTTTCTGCCCCCTCCATCTGTCTATCCCCCTCTCCCCTTTACTCCCTCCTCCCTCTCTCTGTCCATCTCTGTCTGTCTTTGTCTTTCTGTTTTTCTTTGACCCTCTGTTTCTCCTTCTCTCCTCTTTGTTCTGTCCTCCCTTTCTGTCTGTCTGTCTTTTTCTCTCTATCTTGAAGAACATTTCCTCTGCAGCTTGTTTGCCTGTGTTCATCTGGCTGGGTTAGCTCTCCAAGTACCTCATAGCTCTCTAACTTGGTTGCCCTGGCCGAGTGATTTATTTCCCTCATATGCTGGTTTCCTGATTTAGAAAACAAGAACCATATTATTTAATTTCTTTAGATAGGTAAGCAGGATGATTTCATGCAGTACTGCAGTGAGCTGTATAAAATTCTAGCTCTTGTGCTGTTTACCTAGGAATTAGCAGTTAATTAGCAGTTTTACATAAACTTCATTTGATTTTTAAAAAAAGGCCACTAATTTTCCTTTTCCTTTTAGAATAATTGATATCGTGGTGCTGAGATCTGGGATCCTTGGACAAGGAAAGATGAGCAAAAGCAATGAGCAGGATCATGGCAGAACTAGGGTTAGGCCTTGGAAATAAAGACGTTTTTGTTTCCATGTATCTCAAGAATGCAGTTATCCACAGGATGTTTTATGTCACAGAATGCAGCTTCATAACTGCTAGACTGTAGGAAGTAAGTAGACAAAAAAAAATTTGTCAGTGCATCTATGATCTCATTAGGGCATGTATTCTCTCCAGTGATGCAGCTCTTAACCCGTCTTCACCTAGATCCTCCAGTAAATCCATCATGGAAGGCAGAGGAAGTAGGAGGGGAGGGGGACAGCAAACCCTACACCTTGAGGGCCTTCTTTGCTTTCTCTTGACATCACAAAGACACCATTGTCATGTGCAGCTGTCCACTGGTTGGTTTTTCTTTGCTCTTGCTACATGACCAACACATCTTCTTTTTCAATTCTACAGTTCTCCGATGACTTCCTTTATGTTGCCTGACTGCTGTTAGCAATGCGTTATAGCCTACAACAACAGAAAAGGAATGTAAAAGAGAGACATAGAAAAGTCTTTAACCTGTCTATAGAACCCCATGTGATCTAGGCCCTGGAACTCATACTGATTTAAAAAGGGGGGAAAAAGCATTTATTGGTTTCTAAATGCACATGGAAATATTTCCTTAATGTAGTTTGACAGAGTCAGGGGAGGTCATCCAATGAATGAGGCCCCTACAATTGGTTGTAAATATTTAACTTTTAAGAATTATTTTACAGAATTTTTTTCCTTTTTTATATTTTTCTTTATTTTATTAAACATTTCCAAAGTATATTTTAATGTAAATAGTATTTTATTTTTTCCAATTATATATAAAGACAGTTTTCAACATTCATTTTTATAAAATTTTGAGTTCCAAATTTTTCTCCCTCCCTCCCTCCTTCCTCCCCAAAATGGCAAGCAATCTGAAATACTTTATATATGTGCAATCATGTTAAACATATTTCCTCATCAGTCATGTTGTGAAAGAAAAAAACAGAACAAAAGAAAAAAAAAAAGAAAATGAAAATAGTATACACTCAGACTCCTTAAGTTCTTTCTCTGGATGGATCTTACGGCTATTAATGGATCCCTTTTTTTTGGGGGGGGGACGGTCCAATCCTATGATTTTATTTACAAAGGGAACGTGTTCTAGGAAACTAGCTCCATGGATACAAATCTACGAGTCAAGTCTTCTGTAATTTAGAGTATTAGTGAATTCTGGGGGGGAGTATAGAGAAGTGAAGTGATTCTGTTATGGTCAAACAGCCAGCATATGACAAGTGCAGAATTTGAACATAGGTCTTCCTGGCTCCAACACTGTGCTTCCTCTCAATTAATCATTATGATAACTATTTTGCTTAGTCATTCTCATGTATTTTCCTGCCTGAAGCAGAGAAATAGGATCATGATCCCTAGATGGAAAAAAAAAGCCATGCCACAAATTCTATAGCACAACAACCAGGAATTGCCTTTCATGTCTTGGGGGTAACTTTTGAAATTTCTTACTTGCAAGCAGAAGGCAAGCTTTTTTATTGCTGAACCCAGGAGAACAAGAACTCAGCAGGGCCATCAGATTGCAAACAACTGGGATTTATACATGCCTGACTTCCTCTTCCACCAGTGCGGGCCCCCACCTAGGTAAATGAGCTGCTACAAATCTTTCATTGGAGATTTCAAATTGCGCATCTCTGGCAGATGTGTGGGAGGCAATGGCCTTCTCTTCTTCTGAACAGAATGAGCGATGTCTGGATGCTATTGCCTTTAGAGTGAACAGGAATTGGACAAGATGCAATTTCCAAGTTTCTAGGGATAAAGAAACTTCCTGGGAGGCAACCAATGAGTAGGAGGAGTGGATGGTATCATTTACAATGGAAAGGGGAACTCAATGAGAGAAAGATTAAATCTACAGCAGCATGTAAGCAACCAAAAAATAGCAACCCCAAATATGATTGAATCCTTCCTGTACTAGAACAGATAATATTGTTTTCTGTTCTATGAAATCTTCCACTTCACTTTCTGAGGCAATATGAGTGGGTTGTTCATCACTGCCAGTAGATAAACACTTGAATGCAAAGACCTGTATGTATTCTTAAATATACTTACACACACACACACACACACACACACACACACACACACACACACACACACATCTGTTCCAAGCCAACTGCTTCATTGATCCATCTAGGCTACCTAGAAATGGAGCCCATTTTTCTCTCTTATCAATCACCTTAAAGTTCTCTTAGAAGTAAAATCAGAAAGTTCACCTGAGTCATTCATTCTCTGGCTGCTGAAATCCTGTCACTGTTTCTTAATGCTCACTAGTAAGAGTAAGCCATCAGACAAGCAGCAGCAGCCTAGTTCTCTGTACTTTCCTGGTGAAGAAAAAGGAGATCGTGATATTAGAATGTATTAAATCTGCTGCTGCTTTGCTGGCATCATTTATAGATTCTATGTCAACACATAAGATCTTTCATGATAATGAACAGGGTAATTAGTCTATAATTCGAAGTTAATCACAAATCTATAAAAAAATTTCAGAATATTGGCAAAGACTTTTTTCTCCCCTCCCAATGACATTATCATGCATAGTTAATGAAATGAAGATTTCAAATTGGGTCAAATGCATTCTTCAGATACCTAGTAATTTCACAGTCCTGGCACTGGCATCTAGTTTAACCCCTCCTTGAACAACTGTCTACATAGCAGTCTCTATATAACACTGGAAAAATGGACATCAAGTTTCTCCTTGAAGATATCCAGTAATGGGGTTCTCACTTTTAGCGCATTATACTTCTGTGCATCCCTAATTGTTAGGATGACCCAATTCTTAGCATGGTGCCTCACACGTAGTAAGAGCTTAATAAATGCTCATTGACTTGGCTTGACCTACTTGACTTTCCTTATGGTGAGCGGAAATCTGCCTCTCTGAACCTTGGTGTCCTAGGCTGATTCTTCCTAGTTCTGCTCTCAAGAGCAGGAATTGGCAAACTATAATCTGTGGGCCAAATGTGACTACCGGTTTTTTGTATAGCTTCCAGATGCAGAGTTGAGGGTCAGTTCTAACCCAGAAATGGAGTTAGCCAATCCCTGCCCTAGAACCAGGCAGGAATAAGCCTTTCAGACTCTTGAAGATAGCTATCATCCTTCTACCCTTCTTCAAGCCAAACACCTTGGTTCTATTTTTTCTCTGAAGGGCCAATTCTTCCCCAGGGAATTGGGGAATCTTGTAATGATTTTCAAGCTTGATTTCACTTATGTTGAAACCTTAGTATGGACTAGGGAACTGGAGATGAAAATATTCTGTATATTTTTTTTTCCTAAGAATTTTAAACTAACCTCTGGCAAATAAGTCATTTGCTTTGGAGTTGTATTCCCAGTGCTTACCAGAGTGCTTAGTGCATAGTAAGTGCCTAATAAATGCTTGTAGACTCTTGGACTTGACAATATTTGGTACTTTAGGTTTGATGAATTTAAATTTAATGGAAATATGGAAGAAGTAGATGTCAATAGTGGAATGGAAATTGGGTTTAATATAAAAATAATTGGACTTAATATGGTTTGGAGTGTAGTTGGTGAAATCAGCTGAAGATAGTTATTTTCCCTGACATTCTTTATCTTTGTTTTAGGTGCTGATTGATGGACAATTGTGCCACCAATCCTCATTTGGCATTATCTCCAGTCTACAAGCACAAGCAACTCTGTTTTCTCCCCTTTCCTCATCTTGTCTATTAACCCATGCCTCACACTAGTGGAGGCAAGAATTGAGATTCCACAGCTAGAAGGGACCTTAGAGATCATGAGATCATTACTATTTAGATGAGGAAATTGAAGCCTAGGGAGTAAATCTTTGCCCATGGTGACAGCTGATGGCATCACTAGGATTAGAGGCTAGGTCCTAATCAGCTCTTTCCAGTCTAGCTTTTTGTCACACGTAAGTAGGTAATATTGTTATCTTGGTCCCTAATAAATGACTCTTGGAATAACCAGAGCTATAGCTAGTATGGGGCAATCAGGATTTTGTTCCAGAACAAATAACTGAAGGCCCTGGCACTCCACTGGGTCACCATCCACATCCTGACCAATTTCATTCTCTTAGCTGAAGCACACTTCTTCCCACTGGCCATTAAATTTTCTGCAGAGTGGAATCATAGGATCATAGGTATGGAGCTGAAAGTGACCTGAGAGGTCATTTGGTCTAATTTCATAATTTTATAGGTGAGGAAAACTGATGGTCAGTTTCCTTATTTGTGGAATGAGAAAGTAAGTAAGTTGCCTTAAATCTCACCATGGTACACCTGGGATTTGAACTATCAGGATATCAGGAGACACCCTGTTCTCCAGATAAGCAGGCTTTGCCCTGAGTTTAGCATAACAGCAAGCCTTTGCGCTCACCCTCTGGATGATCTTAGCCACAGCAACATCCCAGAATCATTTCATATAATTATTGTATTGCTTTGACCAGCCCCAAGTGTTCTCTGAGCTCGGACAAGCACCTGCAGTACCCATGTTCCAGTCATGAAGCCCTGCTATGAATCACACTCATCTCATACTCCTCATTGTCAGGGCTATAGCTGTCTGCCTAGCCATTGGTATAAGTATTGAGATCTCCCCACACAATAGCGGGTCCCCCACTAAGGATAGGGCCCTGGCACATGTGTCTAATTTGCTCCCTTGCTTTCAAGCCATCACTTTGAAATTAAACTTCTGTTTGATTCCTGACTCCTGGGTCTCTGCTGATCCTACCTCCACAGCACACATGTTACACATGTTGTTTGGCTCTGGCCACCCAAAGGTTAGAGGCTGGTTCTGTCCGGTTGACAGAACATAGATTCTCTGGGATTTGAAGTTAGATCCTGAACTTAAATCCAGGTTATGCTGCCTCCCTGTTCCCTTTTGCTCTGATGAATTTAGTTATCTATCCTCTCCCATGCCCTGCCCTTCCTGAGAATGTTTTGGCTTCACTCAGGAAAGCCAGTGAAAGGAAAGCCAGAATATCAGTTAACCAATGATATGGGAAAAGTTGCATCTCTTGCACAGATATAATTTAGAGCTTATGGAAAACTAATTCTGTGGTCAGAAACAAGAAACACTCTTTGTCTCAGCTAAAGGGGTGGAAAGGCATCTATATGTACTTAGACTTGTCAAGAGACTGCAAATGTACAATCTGGGGAACTTCAAAGGGGATGTTAGTGAAACAAATGGGAGGATTGGCCTGGAATTATACATGGTATTACACCTACTAATACCAAATGCATTAGTCATGGTTAACGCTATTGCAGCTACTAGCCACTTGCTCTAAAGTGGAGGCATGAAACCTGCCAATATCTGCTGGGGTTATTTGGGGGGAACTTGTTCTCAAATAGAAAATGAAAGGCAAAAAATGATTTTTTAGGCTCCAACCAGAGAGTGAAAATAATTCAGTTGACACTTGCAAAATAGCCCCAGGAGCTGATCATTTGCCCTAGAGCCACCATAGTACCCCAGCCCCTAGGACTACTTTGGAAGGGGCTTTGTCTCCCAGCTGAGCTGCTGGTGACAGATCATGAATTCGGTCTCTGGGTCTCTGCTGATCCTACCTCCACAGCACACATGTTACACATGTTGTTGCCATTTCTCTTCACTCTCCTGGCTCTCACTTTAGTTCACACCCCATTGTTTATCGCAAGGGCTTCCTAATTGGACTTTTCTAAAGCATAGTTCCAAAGGAGTCTCTTGCCTGCTTAGGAAACCTCACTGGCTATCTCTTGACTCTAGGGCAAAATTAAAAACCCTCAGTTTGACATTTAAAATATTTTATGGTTCTAGTCCACCTTTCCAGGATACCTTTCCAGGCTGATTTCACAACATTCTCCTTTGGGCATTCTGTATTCCAGACAAAATGATCTTCTTGATATTTCTCAAATTTAGCATTTTATCTTCCACCTCTGTGTCTCTGTATAGGCTGTCCTCCATGTCTAAGTGTACTGCCTCCTTACCACTGTCCTTTATATTTATCTTCTGTATTTTATACTTATATATCCCTACTTTATTTTAAGGTTCAGCTCAGATACACTTCCTTCAGGAATCCTTTCCCCATCACCCATTCTTAGTGCACTTTCCTTCCTCAAATAATGGTGGACATACTTACAGCCTTATGTGTTCTATTCCCTTAGTAGAATATGAGACCCTTGACTGTAGGAACAATTTTTCATTGAATGTCAGTGATTTAGAACAGTAGAACTTACATGTTCCTAACCTTTTCCCCAACCCACTCCTATTCAAATCAATGTGGGAAATCTCTGGGGTGAAAACTACCACTACTACTGCACATCAATAACTTATCTATAATTTACAGTCTTACAGGGTTGTTTAGGGATGTTCAGAGGCTAAGTAACTTGCCCATTGTCACACAGCTAGTAGTTATAAGAGGAAGAACTTGATCCCAGGTTTTTCTGACTGCAACGGCAGATCCCTACTTGTATCATGCTGAATCTCTTCATATCACATACATTTAATAAGTGCTTGTTGGATTGTATCAGATCAGATTAGAGTGGGTTGGGTGACCATGTAGAGCAAGCATTCTCAACCTGGAGTCCAGGGATCAAGGGAATCTATAGACAGATTTCAGGGAGTCTGTAAACTTGGATGGGAAAACAATTACATCTTTGTTTTCAGTAGCCTCTAACTGAAATTTAGTATTTTCTTTAATTATTTAAAAACATTATTCTAAGAAAAGGTCCATAGGAGTCACTAAACTGCCAAAGGGATCCATGTTCCAAAAATGGTTAAGAACTTCTAATGAAAAGGAAAATGTGAAAGGATAGTTTTGTAACACTATACCTATATTTCCTATTTAGTCCAGAAAAATGAGTATTTCCTATAACCACTGTTAAAAGATGATAGAATTATTTTGTATGTTTGTGGGAGGGAGGGTGGTTGTGGGAGAGGGATGAGAAGGTTAGTTCCTGTTTTACCAATGCTGTGACCAAAATTAAGTTACCAGAATAGAAAGACTGAAAAACAGTCCCCTTCAGACCCCAAGAGCTGATAACTTCATAGCTGGCTTCTTAATAGTTTGTTCTCATGACCCCTTTTGCAATAGAAATCAGAGTCCCCTGAGACTCTTAGGTGAAAACAGGATCTGTTTTTCTTCCAGGAACAGGCATCAATGCATCTCTGTGGAAGCCTGGATTCTGTAGTCCATAGCCTTTCTTTCCTGAGCCATAAGGGAGTTGTATTCAGAAGTAAGACGAAGCACCAAACAGCTTCTGACTGATCAGCAATGCTGACAAACCAGCCACCCTTGCATGCAGAAGACAAAGGTCATTGCCCAGCAAAGGCTCCCTGGGGTCTTTGAAATACCATTTGGTTATAGGCAGAACTGAGCAACACCAAGGTTTCAGCACAGCAGTTTAACATCAACACAGCAGTGTGCAAACATATCCTAAGAGACCCCTCCTCTCTCCTCTCAGGCTCTACTGCACTTAGCCATTACAACAAGCACTCTTCAGTAGGCTGGGAAAGAGTTGGAATTAACTCCTTCACACAACCAGGTGAAAACTTGGTGGTTTGGTGGATTTAAATATGGGATTTAACACTTGAATCCTCGTAAAATTTTTCAGAGCAGATATTTAATGTTACAAAGGGATCTTGCAGAACACTGAGGCAGTCGGGCCAAACTGGGCACCTTCTTCCACAGGGAGGGAAAGGGATGTGTACTTAGAAGCAGCTGGGGACAAGCTGAAATGACCAATGTTGAAGAAGCTGGGAGAAGACAAGCGTACTAACACAGCATTGGGGAAGTGGGGAATTATGTATAAAACAGTAACTGAAGTGTCCATACTTTTTTGACCCAGAGATTTCCCTTACAGGCATATAGGTTAAGGAAGAGAAAGGTTACACACACACACTCACACACACACACACACACACACACACACACACACACAAACGGAAAAAATGTTATATATACACATATAAAAAAGATACATATGTACCTTTTTATATGTGTTTATAAATAAATGAATGAATGTATTATATATACACACCCAAAATTACATGGGTATATCTGTGTTTTGTGTATTTATATATATGTATATTTCATAATGCAACACCCCCCCCCCAAATATCTTCATTTCTGCACTTTTGCAGTAGCAAAGAAATGGAAACAAAGTGTGTGACCATCCATCGGGGAATGGCTAATGGCCATGAATGTACCCGAATGTAATGAATTATTACTATTCTAATAAGAAATGACTTCAGAGAGAAGTCATTCTTTCTAATAAGAAATAAATCAGAGAAACTTGGAATGTCTTATGTGAAATGATACATGGTGAAATATGCAGAACTAAGAAAGCCATATACAGGATCACTACAACAATATAAATTGAAGGAACAATAAAACAAGACTAAATGATGAATAATTAAAATTACCAAGTTTGGCTCCAGATGTAAAAATGGTCCCCTCCCTTCATTGTAGAGGTGGAGAACTGTGGGTGTGGAATATTGTATGCATTTCAATATGTGACTGACTGTTGGTTGATTTTGATTTAATTTCTTTTTCTGTAATACAAGGAAAACTTCTCTGGATTGGGGAGCTAATTGGGTTATGATAGGAAGTGAATGTACTTTAAAAACTAAAGGCATTGAGTTGAAAAAGAAAAAAGAAAGGAGGGGGAAAGACATTTCAGGGAGGAGACTTGGAAAAGACAAAAGGTAGGAGTATAGGTGATGTATTTCTACAACAGTGAGTAGAAATTTTGGCTGCAGTGAAAGGTCCATTGTGGGGAGAAGTGTGAAATAAGGCTAAAAGACATGTTGTAGAATATCTTGAATTGCAGGAAGAAGAGTTTGGCTATGATTCTGTAGACAATTGCATGACCATTGAAGGTGACCAGAAATTCAGTAGGTGGTGCCAGTGGGGTAGCACAGCCAATGCCTGGCAGCAGGATCTTTGGGTCAAAAAGTATGGACATTTAAATCACTTTTTCAATATAATTCCAACTTGCTTTCCTGTAAACCTGAAGGCTTATTTGACATCTGTGTAACATCTGTTTGTTGACTCAACTTGTCAACAGGGCCATAAGCACATCAAAGGAAGGATTAAAATTAACAATTAACTTGAATAAATATAGAATAAATACAAAGTATACTGCATCTCTAGACTCAACAAACATTATTTTATGTTACTAACAGTTTCCCAAAAGCCTACAGTCATCTATTAAATAAATAAAATCTTAATTGAGAGCAAAAGTGCCAATCTGACTATAATTGACTAATTTTCTGATTTTTGATGGATATATCATTGGAAAAATTGTTTCCCTTCTCTTCCTCAAAACCTCTTGCCATCCATCCAGGTTACCTTACCACTGAGGCAGGTGTCCTTTAGAGGATGGATTTTGCTCTCTGGGACACTGGTTGGTGAGTAAGAACCACTTTCCCTCATTTTTATTTTGAGTGAAACAGAATCAGTCCTGTAAGACAAGCAGACGTGATTGAGTTGTGATTATCTTTCCCCTCATACTCACCCCTCTTCCAAACTTCCCTAATAGTGTTCAGGGCCCCATCATTCTTCCAGTGTTCCAGGCTCGACACCTAGGTGTCATCTCTGACTTACTCTCAGCTCCCACATAACCAGTCATTTGCCACATCTTGTTACTTCTTACTCTACAACAAATCTCACTTCCTTTCCCCCGTCGGAAACAAAATTTACTGCTTCTCTATCCACAACCATCCCTCTTCCAAACTTCCTCATTTCAGTTAACAGAACAACCATCCTTCCAGTTACTTAGGTTCACAGTCTCTGCCTTATCCTTCATTTCACTCTCGCTCAGCCCATGTAACTAGTCGGTTGCTACACCCTGCTGCTTCTACCTCCACAATGTCTTTGCATCCAATGCCTTATCTCCACTCACACAGCTGCCATCTTAATTCAAGCCCTGATCATCTCTTGCCTAAACTGCTGTAATAATCTCCCAAATGCTCTCCCTGCCTCAAGTTTCTCCCATCTCCATTTTGTCTTCCTCCATCACAGTTTCCAAAGTTTTCCTAAAATTCACATCTAGCCATGCCACTCCCCTACTCAACAATCTCCAATGGCTCCCTATTGACTTTGGCCAAGCATTATTTTTACTTCAGCCTTTAAAATGTCTATTTTTTGTGCATAAAATGGAAGAAAACTCAGATAACAGGATGAATGAGTACGGCATAGACCTGTAAACATAATGTTAGCAATGCTAAAGCTCAGACTGAGTATAAATTGCCGGCAGAAGCTGTTTATTATTTTCCATTTTGCACTGGAAATCCCAGAAGAAATACCGTTAACTCACAATAAGGAGATAATAGGAGAGAACCTACTTGCTATTGATGAATTCAAGTTGGTGATTCCAGATGAGTTATATCCTCAGGCCCTGAAAGTACTGGCAGATACGATTGCTGAACCACTTTCATCAATCTATTAATGATCCTGGAAAATGGAAGTGATACCACAAAATTAGAGAGGGGTAAATATAGTCACAATTTCTCCCAAAACGGAACTTAACAGAGATAGCAAACAGTTGGCTAATGAGAATTATTTTGATTACTGGAGAAATTCCAGAATGGATCTGTAACCTGTGTCCCAAAGCCCCACAGGACCCTATCCTCATTGGGAGAGATCAATGCCAAGTGTAGGACAGAGTTGGTGAGAGTGGAAGAGAGGTTTTTTTTTTTTTTCGGTCTCTATAGTTGCTTTCAGGAGCTTCTTACTTCTAGCTTCAAGGAAGAAGATGGATAATACCAGCCCCACTTTAGGTTTCTGAAGGAACAGCAAGATCCTGGGAAGAAGTCAATATGAGAGGAGTTGGCAGTCTCCATCATGTCCCTATCCCTAGCTTGCTACATTAGAGACTTCAAGGAATTTCCCCTTGGTTGAGATCTGAGAGTATCTTTGTTGAGCTTGCTTCCAATGGGAGAGCTCCTCCACGCCATATTTTCTGGTATATATTGTGCTACATGTACTTTCTCCGATTCTATTTTGCTATCAACTTGGATATATATGAGTCTTTCAAAAAATAAAATATCTATTTTTGCATGAGTTCCTACTGTGCATAATTGTTCACGTAGTATAAAATATATTAATAAATATATACACATGGGAGCACCCCCAAATGGTAGAGATATATTATCCAAAAATTTTAGAGATCATTGCTATAGAGCAGAGAACCATAGATTTAAAACCTAGAAGGACCCACAAGAGACCGTTTCTTAGATCCATGCCATTAGGTACTAATTCCTTTTCACTTGAGGTAGCTGAGACCCAGGAAAGTGAAGTAACTTGCTAGTGCTGAATATCCAGCACTTAGCATAGTTTATTGACTAATTGAATAGACATTTTATTAGAGTAGATAATCCCTTCAACTGATACAGAGCACAACACATTGGTAGATTGTTTAATGAACTGCCATAGCTGAAGCACTTACCATATAGTGGCCAACCTTTCCATGATAGATATGTCCACACCTAGCTAGAAAATAGACCTAGGCTTCGTCTGCAAGCCCATCCTTGGAGCCTTTCCAGTGTTATGGTACTTGAAAGAAAGATTCCAAGACTCAGTCACCAGTGAACAATTTTTTTTTTTGTGCAGAGTGGGATATGTCTGAGTACAGACTCAGCTTGACTTTTTTTTTCAATAGAGCTTCTTTTATACCCAAAACAAAAAACAAACCAAGAAAATCAAAGGAAACACTTAACCTCATTTGATTGGCTACACTGAAAAGTGCAAGAATAAATGGGAGTATACAAAAACTGATTGGCTTAAGATTGGAAAAGAAATGTTGGACAAGGCTGCATATCGTCACTTTATTTAACTTATATGCAGAGCACATCATGCAAAATGCCGGGCTGGATGAATCAAAAGCTAAAATTAAGGTTGTCAGGAGAAATATCAACAATCTCAGATAATATCATTTTGATGGCAGAAAGTGAAGAGGAATTAAGAAACCTCTTGATGAGGGTGAAAGAGGACAGTGTAAAAGCTGGTTTAAAGCTTTACATATAAAAAAAAACCCAGCAAGATCACAGCAACTGGTCCTATCACTTCCTGGCAAATGGAGAAGATGGAAGCAATGTCAGATTTTATATTCTTGGGCTCAGTGATCACTGTAGACGGCAATGGTAGTCATGAAATGAAAAGACAATTGTTCCATGGAAAGAAAGCTATGGCAAATCTGGACAGAATACTAAAAAGCAGAGATGTCACCTTGCTGACAAAGGCCTGTATAGTCAAAGCTATGGTTTTTCTAGTAGCAATGTGTGGTTGTGAGAGTTGAACTATAAGGAAAACTGAGTGCTGCAGAGTTGACATTTGAATTTTGGTGCTAGAAAAGACTTTTGAGAGTCAAATCGGTCAATATTTAAATTAATTCAGGCTATTCACTGGGTGGTCATATACGGAAACTGAAACTTAAATACTTTGGCCACATAATGAGAAGAGGGGATTTATTGGAAAAGACTCTGATATTGGGAAAGATTGAAGGCAGAAGGAAAAGGGGAGCAGCAGAGGATGAGATGGATAGATAGTATCATGGAAACAACAAACATGAGCTTGGACAGACTTCAAGAGATAGTGGAGGATAGAAAGGCCTGGTGTGCTCCGGTCCATGGTCACAAAAAGACAGACAAGAGGGAATGATGAACAACAACAGGAAAACAAACTCAAGGTTAAGAAATATCAGAAAATACTTGGGAATAAAAACATTCTCATCATTAAGAAATTTCTGCTTTAAGAAAACATAGGTGCTATGTGGTACAGATAGTAAAAGCAGGATATAGATAATATACGGTACAGACAATTACTTAAAGTAAGAGACATTTGTTCATATAGGATACTGAGTTTTGCCACAGATAGGCATTTTTATTTTCTCTGCTTTCCCAACATACTACAGCTGTCCTGTAATTGCTTAAAACCAAGATGGAGTCGCTTGGGTTCAGAGGTAGTTAAACTCCATTTCACCAGCAGGGTAGAATCTGCCAGGACTTATACTGTGCTGGTATAACTTACCAGGGCCTTTGAGAACCTAGGGTCACCTCCACACTGCAAAGGGATAATGCTTGCTATAAGCCAAGGGAAAAAGACTGGAGAATACAAATGAAGACTATGCCCTTCTTAGTAAAAGGAAGGGATAACTTTTCTTTTCAATCTCAGTTTCTGTGGCTCAGTTGATATCGTCACCACTTTTCTTCTTTAATAAGCTCCCTTAATAATTTTCTCTTTTGAACAACATAGTGTGTTTCCATCTCTGTTTTCGCTAACCTCTCTCATATGTTTATTGAGCGTTAGTGGAGAATTATTTGTCCCCTGACTCACATGTTTGTAGATCCCAGGACTTTAATGATTTTGGCTCTTGGTAAGTTTGTTTGGATTTATGTCAACAGTGCTTCTAAACCAATTAAACTAAGTCACTCCAAGGTTTCCAAGAATATAACCTTATTGATGACTTCAATCCTTGAGAGCCAGTCTGCTCTGATTGCCATGTAGAGCCCTGGCTCAGTAACAAGGTCTTATTACAATAAGAGAGCATAAAGTGGTTGTTATAACAGATACCATTGTGATGGGTTATTATGACAGAGAGCTAAAAGTTCACATGAAGCTCTGTCGTCACGAATCTTCTACTCGGAAAAGCTCCAGGTTCCAATCCTGTTAGCAATACCACAGGGTGGTGGAAGGAGGCAGAAGACCCTGAGTGTGAGTCCTTGTTGATCTTTACCAGTTACGTGACTCTGATGTCACCTCTCTGAGGCTCAGTTTCCCCATCTGTAAAACTGAGATAGCAACTGGATCTGATATTTCACTGAAGTAAGTTTTTCCTATGAGGAATTTCCCCTATCAATTGCTCACAACACCCAGAGATGATATAACTTGCTCAGGGTCAGACCTGGGACTTGAAACCTTGTACTGAGGCCAGTTTTCTCTCCATGAACATGCTACCCCTCGTGTGTAAAATGGGGATAATGATACTTGCATTATCTATTTCTTAAATTGTGAGGGAAAAAATCACCTGTTTCAAACCTTAAGTTCTACATACATTCATTTTAACATGATAGGGAGCATAGTGAAGAAATTCCTTCTATTAGTGAAGATGGGCACCTTTGCTGCTCCTTACAGAGAACTGCCCAGGGCACTGAGAGACAAAGTAAATTGTCAGTCACACTGCCAGCATGTGTCAGTGGTAGGACTTGAGCTCAGGTCTTCTTGATTCTTTTTTTTTTTTTGGAGGCAATTGGGGTTAAGTGACTTGCCCAGGGTCACACAGCTAATAAGTGTCCAAGGGCTGATTTGAACTCAGGTCCTCCTAACTCCAGGACTGGTGGTCTATCCACTCTGTCACCTAGCTGCCCCAGTCTTCTTGAATCTAAGGCTGACTATCTGCTGTACCATGCTGCCTCTCTATATAAATAGGAGAATTATTTTAGGCCTGAGTAGGCGATTCCAGATGGAAAGAGATAACCTTTTGATATGACGAAAGATTCACCCACAACAGACTTGGAACAGCAGCATTTGCCCCCTTCGAATTATGAATCATTTGTTAGTTACTCCTGAGGTAGTTTTCCCATATTAACCCACAAAAGAGCAGTCCAGAAGGCCACTGGATTTGGAATTAAAGAATGTGAGTTTGACTAGATGAGGTCCCTCCAACATCCTTTGTATGAACTGTGCCAATTCTACAAAGTCAGATGGGCCCTTAGCTAATGAGACTTCAGATCAAGGCCAGACTTCTCCACGGGTAAAGCTGGGGTAGCTTTGGATCTTGGCTCTGACATTTAGGGATGTAGGATAGCTCTGTAGCCAAAAGGGATGTTAGATGTCCTCTAATTCAGTCCTCTCAGCTAGCAGATAAAGGAACTGAGGCCAGCAACAGGACAGGGATTCAAGCTCAGGCCCTCTGACCTCAGCTTCAGTGTTCTCCTTACCCTGTGTACCCTAGGTCAAGTCATATTACCTTTCGAGGTCTCAGATGCCTCCTTTGTATGATAAAAGTGAGGGACTGTTGTTGTGCAGTCATTTTTCAGTTGTGTCTGAGTCTTCGTGACCCTGTTTGGGGTTTTCTTGGCAAGTGATTTGCCATTTCCTTCTCCAGCTCACTTTACAGATGAGGAAACTGAAGCCAATAGGGTTAAGTGACTTGCCCAGGGTTGCACAGCTAGGCCAAATTTGAACTCAGGAAGATGGGTCTTCCTGACTCCAGGTCTAGCACTCTGTCCACTGTGTCACCTTGCTGCCCCCCGCCACACCACCCACCTGTGGGACTAGATGATCTTGATCTAGATTATCTCTAAGGTAGTTCTAACTTCTAATGATAATTTCCAGGTCCCATCATTAACTAGCTCATCAGGATTTGTGTACTTAAAAGCCATTGACCAATGGCTCTCTTCTACATCTTCTCCTGACACTTAAG